AGCCAGGAGTGGATGCTGGCACAGTACCGCTGACTCGCCCACAGACCTGTGTCTCGCCAGCCTCCCGCTGGTGCCCTTCGCTGTTCCAGGACCCCATCCGGACCTATGCGATCAGGGTACACGCTGCCCCTGTGTCTTGCTCCTGGTCATGTCACCTGGATCACTCGGTTAAGGTGGGATCTGCCAGGGTTCTCAACTGTAAAGCTACTGTTTTCCCTTTGTGAATTCATAGATATTTTGGAGGACGCTTTGCAAATATTGCTCTTCCTTAACATCTCACCCACTAATCTCAGCATCTATCAGTGGACTCGGCCTGCAGCCATCATTACTGTGGTGTCCTAATGGTGACACTCGACTTCCCTATTCCTTCCACATTCACTAACTGGAATTATTCTGTCAGGAAGAGCTGTCCCTTCTTCCCCACTTATTCATGTGTTATATCCCCATAAACTCAGGGGTATTTATCTTCTCCTTTGAGTTATAATCCAATACCACCATTATTTGCTTTTTGCTCAAATGGCTCCAGCTTTGGCCACTGGACTGCTTTCAGGTTGGCCTCTGCCCTTTTGACATCTGACATATTCCCATCCGCACCCCCCCTTTTTTTTTTTAAGTATTTCCTTACTTTTGGACACCACAAGATGCTCTAGGCTCAGCTTACTATTTCCGTAACCCAGCTCTGGAATCAACCACTTCCCCAGGAACCCTTCAAAACAAAGATCCTGGTGTTCAGTCTGCTCATTGCTACTGGGGCACCACCGCTCTCGGCCTCCCAGAAGACAGAGCTGGGGAACATGTTATATTAATTCACCTACACACCGATCCCTATCTACCCACCCACCCCCCCACAAGAGCAACAACCGCATGAGTAACACTGACACCACCACCACCAATCCAGCACCACAAGGTACAGTCTAGCATGATTTTGTGACTTCCTTCTCCAAAGTGAGAGATCTGGCTGTCATTATCTGCATCTATTTACTCGCTCTGCTCAACCCTAGTATACATGATAAATAGTTTCAGAACTGCTAACCCACACCCTGGGGCATGAGAAGCACATGTACCACCTAGAGTGTCTGTCTATAGCCTGACAATATCCTGTCAACATGGTTTTCCCAAGTTCCCAGGTCAGCTCCTTTCTTCCACACCCACCTCAGTGTGGTTATGGGGTTCGTCTGTAACACAATCACATCCATCTGTCACAGTTGACATCATTTGGGTGACCAGCTCCCCGTCACACACATCCTGGTTGGTTTTTTTTTTAAGATTTACACAGAGCAAAATTTGCTTTTCGTGCTGCACAACTCCAGGGGTTTTGACGAATGCAGAGTCGTAAAGGGACCGGCGCCTTCCCTACAGGGCAGCTCTACGACTCCCCAAAAAGCCTCCTGCCATCTGTGTAATCAACTCCTTCCCCTACCTCTAGACCCCTCGCATCCACTGGTCTGTTTTTCACCTCTTTTTCCAGAAGGCCATATAAATGGAATCACACAATATGAAGCCTCTTGGGTTTAGTTTTTCTCACTAAGCAAGATGAAACTAAGATTCATCACATTGTGTCAATCAACGGTTTGTTCCTTTCGCTCCTGAGTGGCCCTCCCCTGGAGAGCTGAAGAGCATGGGTGATGTCCAAGCTTTGGCAATTACTGGAAAAAAGCTGCTATTAACGTTCACATACAGGTATTGTGTAAACATAAACTTCCATTTTCCTTGGGTAAATACCTAGGACTGAGATGCTGGGTCATACGGCAGCTATATGTTTAACTTAATAAAAAAGTACCAAACTAGTCAGCAAAGTGGCTGTGCCATTCTACACTCCCATCAAGCTTACGAGAGGACATTCTTGCCAGCACTCGGCACTGCCCTCACCAGCACCTGTAACGTTCTGTTGTTTGTTAACTGTAGCCGCTGTGGTAGGTGTGTCATGGCACCTTATCTGGAAGGTGAACACTTTCTCCACACTTCTGTCTAGGCCACGTCGGCTGTCTCACTCCCCTGGAACTTCCGGTACGTTTCTAGCTGGTCTGCTGCTGACCCCTCATTGCACTGTGATCTCAGGCTCGCCGCGACGTGTGTCTTCCCAGATTGCCTGCACTTCCCTGCTGACTAATGACGTTGAGCTTATTCTTCTCTGCCCAGATTTACTTCCAAGAAATAAAAAATGGGAAAAAAGGATGAGCAGTGTGGTCAGATGAACACGCACTGACAGCAGGAGCAGAAATAGATACCACCTCGTTGGAAAATGGAAGGTGGGCCTGCCCGTGACCCAGCAGCTCCACTCCCGGGCACGAGCCCTGAGGATCTCGCGCATGCACAGGAAGGTACACGGTCAGACTCCACTGTCATCAGACGAACGGCCACACCCCAGCTGCGCAGGCTGAACACCTGCCTGCCTTTGCCGACGCCCCCCGCACTGCCCACCCACTCCACCTCTCAGCAACCTACCAGCTCCACTTGCAAAACATCTGAATCTGAGTACTTCTCATCACCCGCCACCTCCATCCTCTCTGAGCCACAGTCATTTCTCACTTGGGTCATTACACAGGCTCTTAGGAATGCGTCTATCTGCTCTGCCTCACGTCTCTGCAGCCCATTTCCAACAAAAAAGCCAGAAGGAGCCTGTTAAAACACAAACCTGAACAAAAGCCCCCTCTCTCTGCTCCAAACCACTGACCCGTCTAGCTCTGAGAAAACCCTGCTGGCCCTTCATGACCGGCCATGGCCACGCTGGCATCTGGTCCCCTGCTGCCCCTCATCCCACCCACCTTGCTGTCCCCGCTGCTCCCGAGTTCATGACACCTGCCTCGGGGTCTCTGCTCTCCCTTCCCCACCTGGGCCGCCCTCTCGGTGCCCAAGGTGTCATTCAGCTGACCCTTCTCAGAAAGGCCCCCCCGCGACACTTCCATGTACCACCCCCACCCCAACGGTCTCCCCTCCCACCCCAGGTTTTTTCCTTCACAGCACTTAAGACACGGAACAGACCACACGGAGCTCCTTTTGTCCTTCATCTGACTGTCCCACTAGAATGCAAGCTCCTCCAGGCATGGGTTTTGCCTCTTTCTGTTTACTGCTGGATCCCAGCACTGGGAATACACAGTAAATGCCTGACATACGGTATAGACTGAGCACATACAACAGCATGTGTAATCACAAAACCAGAGGCATCTCAGGTCTGGCTCATGGAGGGATTTATCTACACACCAAAGGAGCACAGGCAGGACTCAGGCTCCTTCTGTTTCCAAGGAGCCCCCTCTGGAGAGGAGGGGACAGCCACATCCTTTCTGTGGACAAGCAAAGCAAAGTCACCTTCTCCTGGTCCCTCACTGTGAAGGGTCTGGAGTAAGCACTGGGCTGGGAAGACCAACACTCTCTCCGTTCACAGAAGGTAATTAATAAAAACATCTCTGATCCACACATCTTTGTGTGTTCTAGATGAAGCTGATAAAGATTCAGGATGAACTTAACAAAGATGAAAACTAAAAGTCCAACTGCAAGGGTCTGAGAACAATTCATTTACAATGGTCCCACCATGTTCTCTGGCAGGGAGTGAGTGAGTTGCCCACGGTCCCATCCTGTTTGTAAAGTTTATGTAAGGTTGGTAATTACATATACCATTTGTATAAAGAGAAGGCACCCAGACTTGCGAGGCACCTGGATGGGAGCAAGGTGTCTTCACTCCACCTGTGGTGGAGAGTCCACGGCTGCTGTGACACAGCCTCTGTCCCTGTGAGGACACCCACACAGAGAGGCCTCTGCCAGCACCACTTATATTTCAAATGATTTTCAAATAAGTGTGAATAGGAGTGGGTGAGTGGGAGTGTCTGTGGGGAAGGGGGGAAGGGAGACAGGAGAACATGGAGTTTATCACGCAAAGGTCTTGATTGTATGCCTCTAATTCTATGCATATACGAGAAAAAAGTATTCTTCGATATTCACAACATGTTTGGAATGAGGGGAAATAAAGAATACATGAGGAAAAAAACACATGCAAATTCCTTAGTGTAGAAGTAGCAGTAACATTCTACTTCATGCATCACAGCTTTTTTTAAACTGACATTTTAGAATTCAGAATGGCAGAGAAATGCCACAATATAAATTCAACGAACACTGTGTGTTATCCTTCCTATAATCTTAAATATAAAATTAATTTCTGCTTTAAATACCGCAAACCCCAATCTCCAGTCTAAAGGTACCAAATTCCTAACAGAAAAACAGATGACCTGTCAGTTCGAAATACACAACTGATAGTTATGCAAATGTGAGATAAACACATGCAGTAAAATGGATGACTAGACCCGTGACACTTTGGAGGAAGAGGTCTGCAGACCTCCCCAATCCTCCAAATGCTCAAATACACTTGTGACGGGGATTGCGGGTAAGCACACCACGGCCACGCGGGCCTGCTCCTGCATCCATGCAATCTCTCACTTTCATCTGGAGAAAGACCACAACCCCCAGCCTGCCCTGCAGCTCCCACTCCAGCCCGTGAGGTTTGGCACAGGTACCCTCCTCCTCTACCTTGCCAAGCGCAACGCGGAGGTGAGGGCAGAACTCCACCCTGAACCCCGCCAACGAGGCTACCCTCTGGGGATGGCAGAGCTAAAGGCCACCTTACCAACTCAGGCCTCTGACAGAGAAGACTATACTGCTGTCTCGTGCCAAGCCACTGTCACCGTGGGCCTCTGACGCAGGCCGCCAAAACTACATCTTTTAATTCCTTCAGGTTCCTCAGCTGTAATGGGAGGTTAATAAGAATAATACCTATCTCTCGGACTACTGTAAGGGTTAAACGTCTCAAATTAAAAAGAAGACGGCAGCATCTGTGCATGGGCACTAGGCGATCTACCAGGCTCAGACTTTGGCTAGTAACTTGTTTCCTTACACCAGCCTTGTGCAGGTGCGGGGGGGGACTCTCAGCCAAGCAGTAAGTCATGGGCTCCAACAGGTGAAGCCGTAAGAGTCAGGCGGGGACGGTGTGGCTCTGCTGAGCTGCGACTCACGTGCCGTGGCTGGCGCCACACCGGTCATTCTCTCCTTCAAGTCCCTCACTCCAGGGTTCACATCTTTTCCAGCCGTCTTCTGTTTTAATCCAGCTCCATCCAGGAGATCTCCAGTCCTGGCCCAAAAATGGCATAGCTCTCCTATAATTTAAGTTAAAAATGTATGTGTAATTGATGTAAGTTTCTTTTCATTTAGAACATTTATTCGTTAACTTTAATGAATACAATTCTTAATATTTAAATGTCTGCACGTGCCTTACATGCCAGCTAGACACTGAGGTGAAACACTGAAGGTAACACAGGACTTCAGTTGTACTAAAATAAGACGGATGGGGACTGGTGGATTTATTAGCCCAACCCTGCACGTGTCATGAAAGATTTCCCAGAGGTGACGTCTCAGCTCATGCCTGAAGAACAAGCAGTCAGGGAGTGAGGAAGAAAAGGAATATGACACCGAAGAGAAAACTCATGCCAGAAATTAGAAGCAACAGAACATGAAACACTGATGCTCAGCCCTGTACACAGTCCAGTCTGCCTGAGGCTGACCAGGTAAGGGGGGAGTGGGGAGTGGCTGGAAGTGAGAATGGAGAGGCCACTGGGGGCAAACAAAGTCAAAGGAGCTGGACTGCACTCTGAGGACACCAAGCGGCCGAGAAAGGAAGCTCCACTCCGCAGGGAGACAGTTCAACCAGACCTGAGCTTCACAAAGACCTCAGGGCTACTCAGTCTCTGCCAGCGCCTAGTGCCTTCCTAGTAATAAATGCTGTCTGAAATTACTTACATGGCTACAGTCTGCCTTCCTCAAGAAAACGCGATGTCTTGTTCAACTCTGTATCCCAACACTTGGAACGATGCCCGGCGCACAAGGGTAGCTCAGCAATCACTGAATGAATGGCTCAGAGGGGAGGGTAAGGCTGGAGAGCAAGGCAGGAAAACCGCCAGCATCTAGACTGTACAGACAGAGACCAGACGGCGTGGGGACAGAAGAAAGCCAAGGGGCCAGCTTCAAGGGTCGCTGACACTGAAGGGACAAGCAGGTGAAGACGAGCCGCGAGAAAGGACACCGAACAGGAAAAGCCACGGACGTAGGGGAAGTGGGAAGGCAAGAGAAGAATGGGTTTAAGAAAGAAATGATCAACAGAGAGGCAAGTGTTATAAAGAAGCCAGTACGGTAAGAATTAAAAAGTATACATCGTGTTTAGCTACAAAAAGGTAGTTGATGACTCAACAAAAAGTTTCCATAGAGTAATGTGTTATATTAATCTCATGTCCGACAACATAGATTTGGGATATTTCACTAATGTGGAAGTATCATATCACATCATATCATAGAGTACACAAGAGATGAAAGTGTTCAAATACCATCTCCCAAATATATTTAATGTAACTAACAAAAAATAGGCCATTAAATAGGCATTTATACTGGCTTAGAAGAGACAAAAAAATTTCAGAGGGAAATTATAACTCTTCAACAATATTCCTGTGTCAACTACAAGCGCTCAACATGAAACGTATGATGAAGTAATTTTCCTTTGTACCAAGAGGATCTCAAAACCTTGCTAAACTAAGTAATAATCAGAACACATCGTTTTCAGTCATATATTGTTTAACTGAAATTCTTTCTTTAGAAGATAATTAAAAATAATTCCTTAAATTTCAAAACTATTTTGATAAGCCTCATCTCACACACTTGTTTCACAACTACTGATCACCCTAAAATGCAAAAGCCACCACCCATGTCTAGTCCATCCAGATTATTTAAGGTTGTCTCCAATAGCAGGTGTCTGATACTTTTTCATGACGCTTCAGACAGAAGCCAGAGAATACTTTTACGAAAGAAGGCAAGTACCATGATGTAGTAGATGATGCTTAAATGACAAATTTAGTCTCATAAAACACAAACAACAGAAGAATGTCTTTGAGGACCACCTCTGACAATTGCCAAAGTTTATCTCTCAATATCATATTTAAACTGCGTTTAAAAAAAATCAAGTGGCAACTGTGCACAATATTGCTAATAGGTCAAATACAGTATTACTTCAATGACAAACATATAAACACAGACTAAATGTGTCATTACCTTATGTGTCCCTTCCCTAAGGGTATACCAGTAAACCCTTGAGGAACTAAAAAAACAAATGAAAACCCCCTCCACACACAATATATGTAAGTATATTTAAAATATATTAAAAATATATGCGTAAAAAAAAAATATATATATGCGTATGTGCAGTCAAAATGTACAAACCAACAGTCATAAAATAAATAAGCACTAAGGATGTAATGTACAAAACGATAATTAACACTGCTGCACATTATATTTGAAAGTTATTAAAACAGTAAATCTTAAGTTTACTAAGAGTTCTCATCATGAGGAAAAATATTTTTTCTTTTTCTTTAATGTTGTATCTATAGGAGATGATAGATGTTCACTAAACCTATTGTGGTAATCATTTCATGATGTATGCAAGTCAAATCATCAAGATGTACACCTTAAACTTACATAGTGCTATATGTCAGTTATATCTCAATAAAACCGGGGCAGGGGGGATGTTATGTAGAAAACTGTCCCTTGAAGAATTCTCTGTAACAGGAACAAACTGTAACAACTATAAACAATTAAAATATCTAAAAGAGGTTTTGTTAAATATATTTGTTATTACACTGGGATTGTAAATGGCTATTAACAATAATTGTGCAAATATATGTTAACATGAAAAGATATTCACAGTATATTAAGTGAAAGCAAAGCAAGTTTTAGGAAAATATATGTGATACTTCTGTGTATTTCTACATGCAGGCACAAATTTATATATGTGTGTATAGAAAAAAATCTGAAAGCAGATATAGCAAAATGTAAACAGTGAATATCTCTGCATGTTTGAATTTCAAGTGATTTTACATTATTTTTTATTTGAGGCATTTTTATTTTTAATATTTCTTTTATTAGATGAAAATGTATTACCCACGTGACAAGTTTTATAGAACACGACTTGCTGATCTGAAAGGCAGAAATGGTGACATTGTTAACCTATATTATTTGATTCCTGATGCAGTTGAAGAATTGTCCCCAGTATGTTTCCTTTTTTCTTTTGTGATCTGTATGCTCACAGACTTTACAAATTTATTATTTTAGTTTTTTCCTTTCTTGTAGAATTTAGAAGTCTTCATATATTTAAATTAATAAAATTGGTTTCTCATTAAATATATACATATATATAAATGTGCATACATGCAATCTTGTAATATGAGTACTAAATGAGTGGTAAAGAGAGAATAACTAAAAGAAACTCAGAGTAAAAAGCAAACCACCTGGGAAACCTCTGAAGAGAAACTAGGACATGAGCTTGGCCTTAAAGCATGGTTAGATCTTAAGTGAATGAAGAAAGGAAAAAAATACCAATCACAGAAATGGTGGGTGAAAAAAATGAAGACAGGAATACATGTGACATGTTTGAGAATAAGCGGAATAGGCTGGCTGAAATAGAGAACAGATTGGAAAGGGGACTAGGAGAACGCAGAATATCAAAATTGTTTGGACTTTATTCTCTAAATAATTTAAAGTTTTTGAGCAATCCAGCAATGTGAGCAGTGCTATTTTCATAATAATTTGCCAGGGTGTGAAGGACAGACTGAAGGGGAGAACAGAGGCAGAAAGAAAAACTACTTAACAGAAACTTCTTACCAACACCTCCGATAACAAGATATTTTAAGACTTGATGACACACATTGTACTTGCCTATTTAGACACCATGCCCACTCACCACTTAATGCACTTATATTCAGGCCTCACAAGCAATCCCTATAACATTTACACTGTTTCTGCAGTAAAGTTAAGAGTCAGCTAGGGGTTTCCTGTAAGATAATTGATTCCTTTACAACTACCAAAACTCTACAGATCATTCATATTGACTTTAACAACTCTGTGAGAAACAAATATAGTTAGCCTGAATTTTTCAGCTGCTAAGTGTTTATATTTCCATGGGTTGGAAGGAGTGAAATGCAGCTAACTGGACCATGGAAATAAAAATAGTACATTTCCAAGAGTTTTATTTTCAACACAGAGGAAAAGATTTGTTTCAAAATAAATGTGTGTATTCCATTCCATATAGGTGTATAATCTTTATACTTATGCTTTACACTTGCATATAACTTTTTTTAAATTGAAGTATAGTTGATTTACAGTGTTGTGTGAGCTTCAGGTGTACAGCAAAGTGATTCAATTATGTACATTTTTTTTCATATTCTTTCCCATCATAGGTTATTATAATATATAACCTTATATAGTACTTATATGTAATCTTTATACTTTATGCTTTAGTTCATGAACTAAAGCAGAGATTCTGGAAGCACAGATATTACAAACAATAACAAAAAAGCCATCAGGGAAAAGAAAAAAAACAGAAAGAAAAAACACACGAGTTGCAATGTGAAAGGCTTGGGTCTCAAATTTTCAAAAATAGTCCCAGTCTGAAGCATCTAACAAGTCTGTAAATTGAAAAATACTGTTAAACTTTTGGAATGATGACAACCCATCATTTTTTATGGAAATGTATTTATCTGTTCTGCTAAAAGATCTGAATTGCTATCATGTTATAAATTTAATTAAAATCACCTTTGTTTTGATAATTTCCAAATACAAAAATAAGAACTAGAAATTACTCCTGAAAATTATTAAATGTGTAAGAGCAACTACTCAAAAGTGGCTACTCTTGTAAAATAGCTGGTACAATCTGCAATTTTGTGCACATTTCATGCCAACTAATGTCAGAGAACATATGGGGCCATCTGCTGTAGATCTTCCCTCAATCTCTATTTTATATGGCAGGACATGGGGGTGAAGCACTGCAGGAGAACAGGGCTTCATGAAGTTCATTTGCCAGTGGAAACTCCTGCACAAGACAAGAAATGTCTTTCCTTCAACAAGCACACTTTCCGTTAACTAATGATAACAGCAGCAAACATTTACTAGATCTCAGTATGGGTTAGGCATCACCCTAGACAATTTACCTCTATTATCTCATTGAGTCCTCACACTACCGTATAAGGTAGGAAATGTTGCAATCCGCATTTAAAAGTTTTAAATCTCTATTTTATAGATGAAGAAACTGAGGCAAAAAGTTTGGTGGAGCTGGGATTTACAGTCATGGAATCTCAATTCACAATCCATGCTCTACCACTATATTTTTAAAACAGCAATTCCTGAACACCCTATTAGAAACAGATGTCATAAAACTGCAGGGGTTTTTTTCTTACATTTTTTAGCTTATATGTCATACATCATCAGATATGATCTAAAGTAATGATTGATCTAAATATAAAAACACTAAGACAAGGAAAACATGACAGGAAACAGCTCTAAAAAATCTGAAAAGGTTACATGTATAACAGTACTTACTCTCCTCAATTACTAAACTGATTTTCAGAACAATAAAGCCTATACCTGTAGAGCAAAAGCTATGGCTATACACATTACAAACAGATAAGAAACAAACAAGTTACAGTGAAAATAAAAGGCACTTTCATATTCAGAGAAAAAAGCTGGCAAAGGAGTTTCTCTTCCAGTATTTCTTATACTGGAAATTTCATCATAAATTTTGAGAAAATAATTTGCATTGTTCTGAGATAAGAATGACTGATCCTCAATTTGATAAGCATTTGGCTTTTTCTATTGCTTTCTCTTCCTTACAAGATTTCCAAATAATTGAGGGTCAAACATGAATAAGGCTTATAAATGTGGAAGAATCTGATCCAGAAAGACCATCAAGAAATGGTAAACCGAGGGCTGAGAATCAGAAATGGGGTTTACTGCAAGAAGGCCTGAGAGATAATCACAGATGCCTCACGGAAATGGAAAACCTTCCCGTAAGAGGGGAAAGTGGAACACGAAAGAATAAGGTATAACGTGTCTTCTGTGATTAGGGCTGGAGGTAAGGATTTGGAAGAGGTAAGAAAGGAGGGCTCCGCAGGAAAAGGCACGATTCCCCACACTCCTTCAAGATGAGTCTGAGCAGGGCCAGGGCTGGGAGAAGGGTCCAAACGGAGCTTACCGCGAAGAGAAGGACGCAAAATTGAAACGCGTCCGCTCAAGAAAAATAGGAAAGGCAACCGAAGAGGGGCCGGAGCAGAACGGGGGCAGAGGACGGACGCCGGGAGGACTAGGGCAGGCCCTGGCAGGTGCCCGCGCGGGAGGGTCTGGGGAGGACGAGGCCGGAGGGCAGACGCCGGAGACGCCGGGCCGGGGAAGGGTGGTCCGGGAGGCCCCGGGCCGGGGGAGGAGGGGGCCGACCCGGTGGGAGCGGGTTTAGGCGGGGGCGGGAGGGGACCTGGGCTGCGGGACGCGGAGGGTGGGCGTGGGGCTGAGGACGGGTGGGCCGCGCCGTGTGGCGGGCAGACTGCCTCCGTGCCCACCTGATGCGCGGACGCCCATAGTCCCCACCTAGCGCGCGCGGCGTCCCAGTCCTTACCTGGCGCGCCGACGGTCCCGGCCCCACCTGGCGCACTGACAACCCCCAGCCGGCACCTGACGGCGGCCCGTCCGGATTTATTGCCGGAAATCGCCCACCGCCTACCCGGGAGCGCCGCGGGGAAGCCCCGCCCCCGGCCGCGCTGATTGGCCAGCGCGGCTCCGCGCGGCTGTGTTGCTACCCTGATCCCTGAGTCGGCGGAGCGCGCGCGTGCGCAGTGGGCGTCGCCCTCCCGGGCCCCCCCGTGCCGCTGCCCGCGCGTGCGCAGTGGGTGCGGCCCGTGGGGCTGGTGGGGGAGGTGGAGGCGTCGTCCGGGCGCTGAGAAGCCCCAGGTGCTGAGGGAGCAGAGAAGGTGTAGGTCACCTAGGTCGTGACTACCGGGCCGACTGCAGACAGACACTCCAATCCGCTCACCCCAGCCTGCTCAGCTTTCCAACTCAACCTGAATTTCGGGAATGCAGCTTCGATTTGCCCCCAATCCCCCTGTGCACCTCATTACCTTGTATACTGAGTTTTAAGGCCCAAGTACTTTGTATTTATAAACGATTTATTGGGGTTTTCCCAGTTAGGAGACAAGAATGTGGGGTTCCGGAGGGCAGGGTAGGAGCAGGGCCCCCGGTTCTGGCCAGTGCGAGCTCTCTCGGCCGGGTCGGAGCAGGACCGAGAGGCGTGGGCATTAACTAAGGCCTGAACCTCTGTGTCTCACTTTCCCCGCAAGTAAAATGGAGCCGGCAGCGGGGCTTACCTCACAGGATCTTTATGAAAATTGAATTAACATGGTCAAACATTCAAAACAGTACCTGGGGTATGGTGAGCAGGACATAAGTATTTGATCTTAGTATTTTTCTTTTTGTAAAATGTGTAAAATATAGTAGGTATTCATATTTTAGAAAAATAATTTTGTAAATTATTCCTCATGTGCTTATTACAATGGTGTTCTTTGACTACATGCTTTTAAAATAATGGGAAAGTGATTATGGACAGAGGTCAGCAGTGTTGCTTGCATATCCTCAATGTAAGAGCCGCCCCCTTCTTTTCCTAGTTTTAGGTATCGTCCATGGATGAGCGTTCGGTTCTTTCCAATATTTTGCCGTTAAAAATAAATGAGAAATAAATAAATGAGTAGCTGTATGCGTGAGTGGTTTTGGTTTATTTTTTAAATTTGTGGGGTGGTGTGTTTGCGGGTAAATTACTATCATTGGAATTGTTGGGCCAAAGACAAGTGCAAGTGGAGTTGTGGTCGACATTGCCAGGGCAAGAGCCCCGCCGGCACCCCACGGGGCTTAGAGGAGTATGAAGTCTAGACTAATTGGCCAACGTCCACATAGCTCCTTGTGAAGGAGTTCCATTGGCTGGATTGAGAGGAAGCAAAGTGACAGCCATCCACAGAGAAACACAGGGGCCCCCCAAGTGGTTCAGGTCAATTCCGTCCAGCAAATATCTCTGAGAGCGCACTTAGCTTTCCGCTTGTAAGAGGAGCATGTTCACGGCCCTCTAGAAACTTCACCAGTGGAGGAGGAGAAAGCAGCAGAGGGGCAGGAAGATGCTCCGCAAAGACAGGGTGTGGCTGGGCACTGTGGAGCCCCGGGAGTGAGGGGAGAGCCCCTGGGAGGGAGCCTGGAGGTGAGGGGGGAGTTGCCGTGGGGTGGGCGCAGCTTCAGGAGCAGTGACCCAGAGGGAGGGGCCTACCTACCAGACTGTGCCAGCGTCCCTTCATCTAACAAGTCTATCAACTGGGACGACGGAGAATTTCGAGTTCTTTATTTTCCTAAAAATAATCCAATTGTGATTCGATCCAAGGATTTGGGGACACTTAAACACATTGTTGCAGCCCCTCCCCAAAGTTGGGGTCCGCTGTAGCGGTGAGCTGGGGCAGTCACTGGTCACAGGCGTGCTGGTGCCTCCACGCCTCACCGGGGGCTTGGGGTGCGGCCAGCACGGGGCCCCCATGCGTCCTGAAGGCTGCTACACCACTGGGGAGTGTGTCCCTGATCCTCTGGAGACAAGCTCAGCTTTGCTCCATCCAGGCTCAGAGAATTGTCTCTTTTTCCATGCTCCACCCTGTCTGAAACACATAAGATGTTTAATGGCATCTTTATACAACACATGAAGACTAATTCTATTTTCTATGCAATGATAATACTGGGGTGCAAAATAAAAACCAAACCAAACCACCCAAATAAAACCCTGTCACCTTGGTGCAGACTTGGTAGAGCAGTAGGTACATTAGGGTGACCACACAGACCACATGCTGGGTACCGTGGCAGGCGGTGAGGATGTGAAGTTGAAATCCCTGATTTTCAGGAGCTCACTGTTTGAGGCAGATATAGGATGGCAAATACACAGTGAGAAAATGGGGTGATGGCTATAAAGACGTACAAAATATGGAGAGGCCTGGGGCAAAAGCACCTCTCTGACAGATGCCTCCAGGCCAGCAGGCATCTATGGCCAGGGCAGAAGAGGAGATAGCTTGTGTTTGCTGGCTTGTTTCAGATCTCCTCTCGGTCTTAGGCCTCCTTATCTTTCAAATAGGAATCGGAATAGAATCTTAGGATCCTGAACTAAGAGGTGGCCAGGAGCACGTGGTAAGCTTGGGACGGAGGGATGGGAAGGCTGACTGCACAGCCACCTGCAGGCACCTCATCCCTCCACTTTTGAAACTCTGTACTTGCCTGACAAGACATGTCATCATCAGGCTTCATCCTGAGAGCAGCCAGTTTGCAAGCCCACAACTCCTCATCCAGCTCCAAACCCTCTCTGTTCGCCTGGCGCAGAGCTGAAGCCAAATCCGGCCTCTGTGGGCAGCATGCCATTAACCATTAACTTCTCCCACCTGGTGGGGGGTCTCAGTACCTGCCAAACAGCTCAAAGACGTTGTTCTGTGTATCCCTTGATGGGGAACCAGGACCCTGCCCCAAGGCTGCTCTATTGTTTCTCTTGAGTTCCCCTCCCTTCCCTAATTAACAACTGCTTGAATCTGCCCCATGGAACTCATGGAAGGTCATGGAGGCTGACTGAAGCCTGTTTCCTATAATCAAAGAAATGGGGACACAGGAAGGATTTTGTGCCCAGGAACCCCACTGGGCCCTGCTCGGTATCAAGGCTGTCTCTAACTCCACTCATGGACATGTTTACATTAATACAGATGCCCCAGCACATTCCACCCTAAGTATTTATCAAAGATAAATGAAAACATGGCCACGAGGAGCGTGTACAATAATGTTCGTAGCAGTTTATTCCTTGGAACAACCTAGATATCTGTTTGCAAGGAAGTGGACTAACAGACTGGAATATTCAAGCCATGGAAAGAGAATGAGCCCGCTGATACGTGCGACAACGTGGACGCTTGTCAAGAATAGTATCTTAGTGAAGGAACGCAGACACGGAAGTATATGCCGTGTGACTCCATTCGTGTGAAATGCGATAGAATCACGCCCGTGGTGGCTTTACGGGGCCAGGGTAGGGACAGGGCAGCCTTCTGGGGTGATGAGAGTGTCTGGTGTAGTTTGGGATGAGACTATGCCTGTGTTAAATATCACTGAGGATTTCACTGCAAGTATGTTAAACCTCGATAAGCCAATACATATTTTTTCTTTGGGAGGAACATTTCTATCTGACATATTCCTGGCCAAATTTTACGCAACATATTGAATTAAAAAAATCAAACAAGCAGCAAATATGTTGAGGGCTTACCCCACACCCAGAATCATATTAAGAGTTGTGGGAACTGCAGAAATGTAGAAACCTTCCCTGTCCGCTAGGAGCTTGTGCTCTGTGATTGAGGCAGGAAATACATGTAAGAAGTGTTAGCAATCGAACATTTAAACGAAAATTCAAAAGACCCCAAGGAAGGGCCAGGTCATTTGCACACGTGAACTTTGATGGGGGGGTCACAGGTGCAGGGAAATCACTTTAGCCTGAGCAGTCATAAGAAGATACTAAAATTCACTTTGGCAGGTGAGGGGGAAAAACATAGTTTCATAACTTAATATGGACTCTAACAGGGCAGACGTTTTCGGTAACATCTCTTAGAGCCATGCTCCCTTTCCTCTAATGTAAATCTCAGAAAGCAGGCACTTCAATCTAGAAACAAAAATGGTAAATCTCTAAGTCTCTCCCAGTTCTGGTGTCTTGAAATTCCATCCACGAATTCAAGGGAGCATCTCCATGAAGTCCCGAGTTATTCTCAGCCTGCCCACATGACCCCACTCCTCAAGGCTCAGACCAACCCTCTCTTTATATGCTGATAACAATGACAGCTTTGATAATGACAGTGATGGTGTAAATGGCTAAACTTTACTTACTGTTCACTGAACACCAGGCTGTGCTCAAGCACTCTGCTTGCCTTATGCTCCAAATAACCCTAAAAGGTCAATCCTGTTATTACTGTGTCTTGAAGATGAGGCCCCGAGGCTTTGAGACAGCCCAGTAACCTTGCTGGGACCCCACAAGTAGGCAGACATGGATCCAGGGTGTGACTTGGCTTGTCTGACGCCATCACTGTGTGTCCACCTCCCTGGGAGGCGCCCCCCTGAGAGGCCTGTTTTAGGTGATCCTCTTTCCCCCAGCCCTCCAGTGCTTGAGTCTTTACCAGTCACTAGACAACCACAGTTTCCTGTAACTTCTTTCAGTTACTTACATACCAGCTCGCCCTGCCCTCGACTTACAGAAACATCTCAGCTTTGCATGAAGACCACGAGCTCTCTGAAGGCAGGGACTAGGGTCTGACACTTTACAGAGCCCTGAAAGTAGAGTTCTCGGTGGAGAGGGGAGGGAGAGGCTGGCTGCCCGTCCAGCCAACATTGTTTGATCTACACAACACGACCACGGCTGGAACACTGGGAACAAGTCCCCTTCAGAGTCACCTCAGATGTGGTATTGAAGTTGGCTTGTCCTCTGCATGGTTATTTCCAAGCTGGCATGTGCTTCTCTTGGTTCTATATCGCTTTCTGTGAGATCCAAGCAATGGCATAAACTTCGATAGATCGTTAGAACCAAGAGAGAACTCTGTGTGGAGCCTAATCTGTCCTTGTAGATAAGGCCACACCTTCAAGACTCAGCTGGGGGAGGAACGGCAGAGCTGGGGCCGAGCCTCCCATGCCAAACATGGTTTTCTTCCCCTAACACAGCAGATGGTCTCTGTGTCTGCTGTCCTCTGAGCCTGGGAGTCCCAGATCGCTCTCCCCACGTCCACCAAATGCGAGACCACCATGGGCTGGGCGTGGTCGCTAAGGTGTCTGTAGCCTTTTATCAACAGCATTGCTGGGCTGCTCTCTGACTGACCCAGACTTCCAGTCACCTTAGGTCACCCTGGTCTCCTGCCCATCATGACTCTGTCCCTCTGCTGAATGGGGGACGACTGACCATACCCTCCTGGGAGGAAGCACAGAGGTGCAGCCTCTGGGTGAGATGAGCAAAATCTATTAAGGGGACCCTTCTTCGAAAGGAGAGGCATGAGAAGATCCTCTCATGTCCAGCCATGAGAATTTTCCGTGTTTCTGCTTAGGGTCACTAGTTGTACAAATGAAGGCAATGTGCCACAGATGCCCCATCACCAGGGCTACAGTAAAAACCTAATAAATGGAAAACAGCAACATTGCCTGATGAACAACTGGGTTTTTCCAAGCAATTTTGTCAGCAGAAGTTTACTGCTTTTTGATAGAATTGAAAATAAACAGGGGCTTCCCTGGTGGCGCAGTGGTTAAGAGTCTGCCTGCCAATGCAGGCGACACGGGTTCCAGCCCTGGTCCGGGAAGATCCCACATGCCACAGAGCAGCTGGGCCCGTGCACCACAACTACTGAGCCCGTGTGCCATAACTACTGAAGCCCACGTACCTAGAGCCGCAGCAAGAGAGGCCGCCACGATGAGAGGCCCACGCACAGCAACAAAGAGTAGCCCCTGCTGGCTGCAACTGGAGAAAGCCCACATGCAGCAACAAAGACCCAACGCAGCCTAAATAAATAAATAAATAAATAAATTTTAAAAATGAAAACAAATTTTAAAAAAGAAAAGAAACAATAGAAAGGCAGTATTTTAAATACACCTGGATTTTAGTAAATCATTGTGGTAATGTGCTACCTAATTTTGGAAAATTAATTCTGGTTTGGCTATCAGCAATAAAATGATGAAATGGTTAATGGGCTCCATAATCATTCTTCCAATAATGCCTGGGAGAAAATGAAGCTAAAGCAAATCTAATTTAGAAAAGCAAGTGGAATTGAATGGTTGAAAATGTCAACAGAAGTGATTCTCATCTGTTGGAAAATAGTGCCTAATGCACACGTGGAACTATATAACCAGAACACAGAAATTTAGCTTCTCTGTTCACATGAAAACCTCAGCTTCATCTGAAATGCTGAGGATGGCAGGACAGAAAGAGGATGAATTCGCGCCGTTAGGGAGTCTGCATCTGCGGGACCGAGTTGATAAAGGCAGCCACAGCCAGGAGAGTAGGTGTGTACGAGGGCCAGAATTTGTTTCTGTGCACACCAGGACCCACACTCACAGAGATGTCTAAACAGAGGAGGCACTTCCTGGCCCCGTGACGGCTCACCGTTTTTCTATCTGCTGGCCCACAGAGCCTCATTCCAGGTGTCTCAATCCACCTCCACGGACAGGGGAAGCAAAGAACAGCAAAAATACCAACAATTTTGCTCAGTCTTTCTACAAATGCTCTTTGCTTTTACTGCAACATGAAACCCAGAGCAACGCAAGTGACGTGAGCCACCGGTGGGTGTAGCATCACTGAAAGCCTAACATTTGAGGAGTACCTAAGGCATGGTACATAACCGCCTGCAACTTCTCTGCTGAAGTCATTCTTCCGAGAAGAACTTCTCTGCTATGTCTGAGTGGGCAGAAGTAAAGAAAAGCAAATGCCAAAGCTAGGACCATGCTTAGGCAGGGAGCCCAATCCCAGGTGCATATTTTAGAGATACAGTGGGGAAACCTTGAGGCACAACCAAACCGAGGAGGGGACTTACACGTGTCCAGAGCTGTGGAGGGCAGTGGAGGGTCCCCAGTGTAGCTACTGGGTTGGGACTTGGTGGGGTTTCGTGCGCAGCTGGGCTCTCTCGTCTCTGTGGCCCAGGGCTCTGATGTGTAGGCAGCTGCCGATGGAGATCCCAAGGACTAGTGTGCTGCTGAAGCGACCCTGTCAGGTTGCGCCGGTGATGCAGCAAAGTCTAGAGACAGGAGCTTACTTTCTGTTTCTTGGTTCCACTGCCTCATGTTGACTTGTTGCAGCAAAATACAGCAAACATTTACCCTTTCTTCTGCTTCTCATTCCAGCTCTAAAACTCCTACTTCTTTTCAAGGCAACGTGGATGTTCTAACTAGTGCAAAGTCACATACAAGGGAGTAGATAAACGGAAGTCAGGGAGATTCATGTTTCAAGATATTATCCTTCCCTACCGGGAGGAAAGGTGCTGTTGGAAAATATTCAGCCAGCGTTCTAAGCCAGAGAGCCTCATAGGTCCATGGAAATTGCATGTATTTTAAAGAAAAATCTTGAGAGGAAAATAAATAAGCTACTTTATATAGATGCTTCTCCTTTGACTGAAGGACAATTGTGCTGTCTACAATAGTTGTTAGAGCTATAAAACCTTAAAAGGGCATTTATAAGAAGGAAACACAGACTTGCTGTGATTCCTGCTGTTACAAGTGAAATGCCCCCTTGCTCTGCCTTGTCTTATCCTGGGATGGAAGGCAAATTGCCCGGTAGACAGTGTCTGCACAAGATCTTGCGAAAGCTGGGCCTTCAGGTGACTTGCAAGTATCATATGTTTACATATGATGGCTTCCTAACTTATCAAGCCTCCGCTCACAGGTTGCCTTCTCATTAGACCTACCTTTAATATTTCAGTTAAAATTGCAACGTTCCCCAGACACTCAGAAACCCCCTCACACTGGTCTATTTTTCACCCTTATTAATGTATTAATAAATTTATTAATTTATTAATTACCCCAGGATGTAAGCTTCACCGGGGCAGAATTTTCTTTTTTTCTCTTTTGTTCACCAATGCATCCTGGCTCCCAGGACAGTGCCTGGTACATACTAGACACTTAGATACTTGCTGAATAAATAACTGAATGAACAAATCAATGAAGCACATCCTTCATATAAAAAATGTTAAATATGCATGTTCATGTTCTAGACCAGAAGATTCTACTGATCTCACAACAGAATTGAAGGAATACACCAGGACGGTTGGTAAATGGAGATATTTCCAGATTATGTTGCTTATTTACTTGATAAAGTTTGATGTTACTACGGCCTGAAAGTTTGTCCCCTCAAAATCCACAAGTTGAAATCCTAATGCCTGATGAGATGGCATTAGGAGGTGGGGCCTTTGGGAGGTGCTTGAACCCCGAAGGCCGAGCTCTCATGAATGGGATTAGTGCCTTGTAAAGCTACCATTGTCTGTGCTTTGCCTGAAGCTTTTCCTGTATTAACTAGAGATTCAAGGTGGGGATGGCGGGAGAGGATGAGGAATGAGGGAAATATGAGCACAAACAATAAGAGGCAGAAGAAAATCAAAAGACAATAGAAGACAAAAAGGTGGAGCAGGACAACACAGCTTGTGGTTTATAAAGCAGACACAGCACACGTGAAAAGATCAAACACCCGTGTCAGCCGCTGTTGGCTAAAGAGGCTGTAATGAGCTACCTTGGGAAATCTATGTCACACACATGACATGAGTACTATGGAAAAGGAGACCAAGAACCAAACTCTAAAAAATGGGCAAGAATGTCTTTCTAAACTTGTTGCTTAGAAAGGAGACAGATTTTTCAGTTGTATTCCTCTTTATCGTATTTTAAAATTATTGATCACTATTATTTTATTACTGAAACAATACAGTAGATGGAATATACTATACGCTTAACGAAAAATAGAAAATACAGACAAGCGTAAAGAATAAATATCTACAAACCATCCATAATTCCACCACTTGGAAACAACCACTCTTGTTTTTAAAAGAGGCCCTGTTTTGAAGCCTCAGATAGCTATGCAGGAAACGTTCACCTTTGGAAGAGGGAAGGTCCACCATGGGGCACACGTGCCGTTAACTGTGTTCACGTGTTTCTCTGCACGGGCCCTCAAACTACTTACATTAGAATCATCTGGTGCGTTTATTTAGCTGCAGCATCCCAGGCACACCTGTGGCTTCTCAGTCAGAATTTCTGGGGCTGAGGTCTGGGCAGCAGCTAATCTACAAGCTACTCAGGAGGTTCTAAGGCCCAGTACGGTTTCAACTGCTGGTCCAAACGAACGTTTCCCAAGCTCGCCACGATGTGTGTGCAAGGATCACCCAACGAGCTTGTGAAAGCTGCCGTTCCACCCCCATGAGATTCTCTTCGCTTTGATCATGGTAAAACCCGCATACTTCTGTTACCCAAAGTCTTTCTGGTTGATTCTCTGCAGCCAGATTTGGAAGCCCCTGCTTTAGATCAGTTGTTTCCTATTTTTGTTAAGCCCTCAAACTCTTTGTTCCAATGACCGGGCTTTCAATTAATGTGTAAAACAAGCGAAAGCAATTACTGTTTGAATCAGAGAAATCTGGGCAAAACTTGTGCCCCCCGCGGTGCCCAGAGGTCTCCCCATCCTGCAGCCTAAACACCGCTGCTGGGTGGGGGAGACCCGGCGGGTGACGGCGCACAGGGCCCGACCTCTGTGGTCTGCAGTTGTCATGTGTTTGACGCTCCACAGGGGACACAGCAGAGAGGCTGGCATCTCATAACCAACCCACGAACTTTCACAGAACAGCTGAGGTCTAAGAGGGGCGAGGTCTAAGAGGGGCAAGGCCCAGTTCACACAGACGTCCACTGTGTCTGGAACTCAGTCCAGTGTCAGCGCCAAATGTGACACAAGAGGACAGAATCAAAACGCAATTGCTCCGGCTCTGTAAACACTGTGTGCGCATGGAAAACATTTGCTCGACGTCCTGTACAATGCTGGTCTCTGAGCACAAACAAGGGCTTTTCCAGGGAATGGCGTCAAGAGAACAGGACCGCAATTTCTAAAACAAAACTAAATGTTAAATTACCCTTGCCCGCTTGACCCGGTGTCAGTTCCCCAACAGTGCTTTTCACAGTGGCAACAGGAAAATGGTAAAAGTATTTCAGATGGTATTTTGGTTAAGAGAAGGGCAAAAATAAAAAGAAAATAGCATTCTACAGCAGGGCCTTGCCAAAAGTGCAGCAAATCAGAATTCTCCGGCTCTTCCGGCTTCCTGGGGTTTAATTTAACCTGTGCTTTGGCATTCCTTCTGCCCGCCAGTCTCCCCAGAAGAGGTGAGATGGCTCAATGAAATTTCACGCATTCATACCATCCGGGTTAAGGTACAGAAAACCACATGCTTTTTCTAGCAACTACAGGCATTTATCTTGGCAAAGCCAGTGGAAAGAGGTCTGTATTACACACTAGATCCCTCTCTACCTCCTCAGATGTGGCGGGATCCCCATAGGGAAGGATGGAACGTTCAAACTGGGGTAGTTGAAGGAGTATTTAATAAAGGGACTATGTACACCGGTGTGGACAGGGTTTAGGAAACCCAGGAGGGACGGCGTAGTCCCTGGGGCTGGGGAACGCGAGCGCCAGTCCTGTGTTCACCCTGGGTGAGGAGAGTCAATGCCAGGGAATAAGGCCGCAGAGGTGGGACCGCCTGAGCTACGCATCCATTCCTGGTGACAGGGAAGACCTCCTGATAACCCAGGAAAAGCGGTTTATGGTTATGGAAACATAGTAATGTTTCGTTATTGCTGGAGTAGATGCCACGATGCTGTTTATAGTGGATTTGCACGTGAACTTCCATTCTTTTTACGGCTCTCACAAGGTGGTTTGTTAAATGTATAACTTAAACAATTTACCGTTTAGAAGTGAGGCATAGGAGAGGCAGTTCCCCTTAAACAAGGTCTCAGACGTGCAGTGTTTTCCGCTGGAATCCCCTGTTCGTCGGAGCCCTGTCGATAGGACGTGGGTGTGGGGCAAGCTGGTGAGGCAGGAGTTAGATGGCCCCAGGCTGAGCAGCTGGAGTCTGTCCCCCTGGACAGATACTCCAAGACGAAGACAGCAGCAGGAGGGAGGAGGACCTGAGCCCAGCCCAGATAAGAGATAACGAGACCTCATATTCCTTCCCGATTACACATGTGCAGAAAGGCTCCTGGGGGTCAACAGGAGGGGGCGCCACCCCATAGTAGGTGATGTCAACCTACCCGTAGGCCTCTGTGCTAGAATCCATCTTGGCTAAGAGATGCACGCACACACAGGGCAGGACCTTGAGATAAACCAAATACAGACTCAGAGCCAGACAGAGCAAGATGATTGGCCAGAGGAAACCCGGAAGAACTGCCGAATATAAGTGATTCAAACTACCACGAGGGCGCCACTCTCTGAGTCCATCCATGTGTCTATCCACATGTACTCTTTTTCCTCCTAATAAATACTTTACTTGTTTCACTGTTTTCCGTCTCTGTGGAAATTCATTTCTACAAAGCCGAAGGGCCAGGGCCTTGTCACTGGCTGCTGGTCTAGTGGCCAGGATTCAGCGCCCTCACTGCCGCGGCCCGACTTCAATCTCTGGCCGGGAGCCAAAATCCTGCCTCAGGCTGCTTCAGGCCGAGGCCACCTGAGATCAAGACGTGCAGTGTTTTCCACTGGAATCCCCTGTGCCTAGGAGCCCAGTCCAAGGGACGAGCGTGCATGGGGGCAGGCACGTGGGTTTGGTGGGCAGAGGCCTGGGGAGCAGCGATGCAGGTGTGGAGGACAGGGGGCGGGATGTGGGCGTCGGGGGGAGTGTGATTACATCTCAGGTTTGAGGGTGCCAGCGACTGGGATCGTGACCTTCACAAGAGCCTTTCACTTCTGTTTTCTTCCCACCTCAGGTGAGACCTTGGGTTTGCCCTGTGATCTCAGTTCTCTGAGGGGTATAAGAAGCACTGTTGATTTTCAATTTGTTCGCTTTTTACTTGTAAAACCACAGGGGTGGCACCATCCAGGCTGCTTACCTGCTAGCCTGGACCCTGGAGACTGGCAGGCGACGCCCTGAGCTCAGGCATGACTCAGCTCCGGGCCTGGCGACTCTGGAAGGCTGTAGATTTGCGTCCTCCTTCCGGCCGCAGGTCCGGCCCTGCGCAGCCCTGGGGCCCCACCCTGCTCCCCCTACTGGCCGCCTGCTGTGGGTCCTGCCTGTTGGGCATGCAGACAGCCTCTAGAGCTAGAAAAAACAAAGACGTGGATTCTCCTCTGGGCGCCAGAAGGAACCCTCCGCTGCCAACACCTAGTAGGACCCTGACCTCCGGAGCTGTAAGATAAAGGAGGTTGATGATGGGGTTGGGGGGACCGGGTGGGAGAGGAGGAAGCTGGGCAAATGCTCTCCCTGCGGGCAGCTCCCACCTGCAGCCAGCCCATCCGTGGCCCCTGGGGCTCGCGGCTTCCTGGGCTCTAGGTTGGGCCGTCGGCCCCCTTCTGAGGGAGCAGACTTCTCAGCAGAGGCCCTTGGCCGCTCAAGCCCTCGGTATCAGCCAGACCTTCCGTCAGGGACAGAGCCCCTCCTGGGCCACCTGCTCGCACACCCGCCAGCATGCTGTGTGCCTCTCTGTTCACCCAGGTAATTATTCACCCTCCCCTATGGGCCATTGCTGCAATGTCTCCTAGGGAAGAAAAACAAATCCAATGGAAACAAAGCAAAAGCAGATTTTTTAAAAAGAAAAAAAGACCACCCTGAGGGCTGTCAGCAGCAGCTTCATAGGTCGGTTCACCGGACTCCAGAGGCAGCTTTTGGGCTTTGAACAATCCCCCTCGGCCCTGAGATGAGGTTAAGACACCCCCGCAGAGAGCACAAGGCTGGGGCAACAGTTCTTTCACCGTAGACTCTTTCCTGCTAGTCTTCCTTCCAATCTCCAGTGGGAAGAAGGGGATAAAACCTAAAAGTGTGAGGTAGGCATTCCATCCTTTAAAATATGCGGATACATAAAAATCCAGCCTTCACATGAGTTTGGAGCACTAAACCCACCTTGCAAAGGATTCTTAACAAGTCTTCAAGCAAATGGAGTTAAATCTAATTAGGCACAGCTTTAAATATTACTGAAAGCAAAGGCCCACGTACGTGACTACAATAAATGACAGTGAGGCATCCGCTCTATTTAAAACACAGTAAGCGATGGTATTTAGCAGCACAGTGGCCGAGGGCGTGGGTAGGGGCTGGGGTGGAGTTCAGGCTGGAATGCTCGGGAGGCCGCAGGGCGGCTTTAAATACAGCTCTTGTGGTTGGGATTAACAGATACACACTACTACATATAAAATAGATAACCAACAAGGACCTACTGTGTAGCACAGGGAACTACTCAATATTCTGTAATAACCTATAAGGGAAAATGTGGTGCTCCAAGGACAAAGGACAGCCCAGCCTGAAAAAGCTGTGTTACGGACCCCACCAGACTCTCTCGCCCTCCGCGCCATGTTGCGATGGGAACGAAATTCCTGAGCCCACCTGGTCAACGGGACTGTTCCTCTTTCGTCCCAAATAAGGAAAGGCATCTGCCTTGTCCCACTCCCACCCTATAGAAGGAAGGTATATATATGTGCCTCGACCAATTGAGAAAAGAAATTTTCACCTCGGACCATTCTTTTGTTCTCTGGCTATAAAAACCGACTGATAGCACATGTTCAGGGTCGGCTATCCCAGACTACTAGGAAGTCGGCCTGCTGTTCTGGCAGCAACCATTCCCGCTAATGAATTCCATCCTCTGCATTCTGCCTTGTGTCTGGAAATTCTTTTCCAACCTGCGTTTGGACCACGACAGAAAAGAATCTAAAAGGAATATATATTCAGTTATATGCATGTAACTGAATCACTGTGCTGTACAACTGAAACTAACACGGTATTATAAATCAACTATACTTAAATAAAGTTTTCGTTCTGAAGGGCGCTCGAAGCTGAGAGCTTGCACACCAGGCTCAGCCGTAAACCACATTTTGGAGGCATGTGTCGTAAGGACACTCTACTCAGCGTGGTCCAAAAATCAAATGTCTTTCACGTGTGGCCCCTTGTCTACGCATGTACCTAGATGTATTTGTGATAATAAAACACACATTTCTGAAATATTACTGAATAGTACCTTTTTGTCATTATGCCATTTCCCAATACACAAAAATTCTGAGTACAAGGGTGGTCCTCGGCCTTTCTTAAGTAGCCACAGTTTATTCCCCTACAACACTGATCTTATTATTCTTCAGAAACTAGGTGAAAGCCCTTTTGTACTTTTATAAAACTAGTAATTTGTATAAGCACAACTTCATTAAAAAAAAATTGGAGGGGGGAAAAAAACGATAAGCCATAGTAAAGAAGTGATTATAAACTGTCATTCTTAGATCATAAAATCTGACAACATCCAAACGAGTACAGACCCCAGTGTTGGTCCTGGGTCTCCAGTTTTTATACTAACACAGGTGTCAGGAGTTCTGCCCGCCCCACGACCTGGAAACAGCAAACGCTGAACATGTCTGTGTCATTTTGACATTTCTGGGAATATTTCATCTTGAATAAAAAGGAGAAACATGAAATAAGAGATGCTAAATCCTACATATCTTTATCCAAAACCCAAGAGAAAAGCAAAAATACATTTTTTAATATTTCTATTATAATCACTTTTTTAAACTGGAGGGTGTAAACACCAAGTTGGGCATTATTCAGAAACGTGCTTGGGCCGGACTGGCTGAAGGTTAGGTCAATCTTAGCTGCATTTTCACAGTCAAACCTATTGTTTCACACTCAAGTCAGTGTGGTAAACGAGATGTTCAGGAAGAAAAATCATAGTATTAGTATTAGTTTCGTACTGCTGCTAGAACAAATTACCACAAACTTAATGGTTTAAAACACGCAAATTTATCACTTTGTGGTTCTGGAGCTCAGAAACGGAAAGGGGTCTCTCTGAGCTAAAATCAAGGTGTTGGCAGAGCCGTGTCCCACGGAAAACCCATTTCTTGCCTTTTCCTGCTTCTGGAGGTTGCTCACCTTCCTCGGCTCCCGGGACCCTCCCCCTTCAAAGCCAGCCCTGACCACCAAGACTTTCCCGCCCCCCTCTCCCTGGATCCTCCACTCACTCATAAGGACCCTGATGACACTGGGCCCACCTGGGTGATCCCGGCTGACCGCCCACCTCACGGTCAGCTGATAAGCAACGTTTGCTGCTTAGCCTAAGGTAGTCATTGTTTCTGGGGATTAAGACTTGGACATCTTTGGGGCCTTACCCTGCTGCCCACAGATGGGTTACTGGTCTTCACAGAACAATGGTCCTGAACAGGCAGATGATCCTGTGTCTTCGTCCAGTATGGGGACAAAGGCACAAGCGTTGCCACTGAGCCACCAACGCCTCCCACTGGAAGCAGGACTGTCCCGACTTGCGCCACCTGTGAATTCCACCCCACTGGTGCTCAAGGCTCCCACCAAGAGGACCCCTGCATCCCCACTGCCTGTCCACCATCTACTCAGCTCGCGCAGGCATTTCCTGCTTGTGCCCCTCGACCCTCGGAACTCTCAGTCCAGCCCCTCTGTCCCTCTGAGCCACTGTCGCAGTTACAACCTTTAATTTATTACCAAGTGACTTCAGATGCACCTCTCCGAGTCGGACTGTAATCTCCGTGGGGGACTGCAGTTCTGTTCTGTTCCCCATTGGAGCTGTGACACAGTTCTAAGGACCCGCACTTAGATGGTGCTCTGGGAATGTTTGCTGAAGGAACGAGCCTCCCACTGAATGAAAACGAGATGGGAGGAGGTTTACAGAGGACGGTGAACAGCTGGTGACACGGGTTTGATGACTGAAGCTGACGGGTTATCAGGATGCAGGATCTACCCAACAGTGCCTCTGTTTTCATCAGTGGAAACTGTTCATGAGACGGTGGTGAAGGGGCCAGACCGACAGGCTCAGCCCCAGCTCGCCCGCCCGCGGCAGACCCTTAAACCCTGTGCCTCCTTGTTTTCTCTTTTGCAAAACACGGTAGTGGTACCTGCCCCACCCTCCCCTACCCCCCAGCAGTGTAGTGATGGCTGAGTGCACGGCGATCAGTCTTCTTCAGACTTGGGCAGAGCCCGGTGCACTGTGAGTGTCCCCGAGAGCCACACACTGTCCTCGTCAGCACAGCTGTCAGAAGTCCCCACGCCAAAGCCACAGCACAGCCGTCACCCGTGGATCGGCCAGGAACTGGAGTTCACTCGGAAAAGAGGGATGGAAATGTTTTTTAAAGCACGTCAAGGTGGTTTATATAATGTCATTTAATTAACCCTTCAAATAAAGGACCTAACATCAAGAGTCTCTAAACTGATCTCTAAAGGTCACTAGTGAGCAAAACAAAGGTGTGAGGACATCGTACCTAACATGTCCTCACTCCTTAACCTTCGTTTTGCTCACTAGTGACCATTAGAGGTTTAGGGATCCCTGACCCTAATTTAAGGCCCATTTCAATAATAATAACAAGTCGTCAAGAGTGAACAATCTATCACTTCAAGAGAGGTGTTAGTAAATTTGCTGAGTGGAAATGAACTTACTAAATCATCAGCCCTGGGGACGGAATGAGCTGCCCGGGGGCAGGGGAGCCACAGCGGCAGGACTGTCCACTCCTCGTGGCAGATCACAGGGGCCTTGGGAGGGAGCAGCAAAGAACTCCCAACAGTTTCTCCATTTTATTGGAGAAGCATAAGGAGAGATGATTCTAATTAGAAAAGAACAAAATGCTGAAGGTCCCATACGATACAAGATACTGCATGTAGGGCTAATTAGCGCTTTAAAGAGGAAGTCACCTGTCTAAGCAGTAGACAGTGAGGGCTAACTTCACAATAATCATCTCTGACTCTAATTGGAGAGCTACTCTTTGGAAGCAGAGCTCAGAGAAACAATTTGCAGATAACATCAAAAGAGATTTAATCATACACCTTCCTATTTGAAAATGTTAGCTGCCGCTGTGCAGACATATAATCACTTACCTACCATACGAAAGATAAAAACTCAGCCCACCCACTATTTCTCCTTCTCCGCAAAAAATATTTTTTCTCTGATGGCTCGTTTTCTAACCAAGAAACTTACTGCTTATGTGGTGGCTTATCTTTGCTGCTAAAGTATTAACTGTTCAAATGTCTTGAGGTGAGAATATGGAAAAGCGGACTCCTGGGCCCTCTCAACATCACTGTACAGGAAGCTGGGAAATGGAAGCCAGTTTTACAACTTTGGGAATCAGGGGCAGGAGGGGAAGGAGCTAAGGAAGCATGAACGCCCAGGGTCTCCCGCACCCCAGGGTCGCCTGCCCCTCACCCCATCTGAGCGTCCTGTCCCTGCCACACACCGAAGGCAAGAAGCAGGGCAGGGGAGAGAAAGCGGTGGCGTCTCAGGGACCTGTCATGCATCAGGGACGAGGGCCTGGGCAAATCCATGCATCGCTCGGCTGGGGATGCCTACCCCTGTTTGAACTGGTCGTGGACCCTGGCTCTGTCCCAGAGGTAGGGATGCAGGGGGCTTCCCTCGGCTGATGGGCCTGAAAAGGGGGAGCTGAGACCCCTCTCACATGGCGGGAGGTAAAACTGAAGGCCAGTCTGCGTCCCAGTTCTTTGGCCTATGACCCAGCCTTTTAGCTAAGAGTCGGCCAAGGGGAGGTGGGCGGGGAGGGTGTGGCCACCGTCACCCTGTGTGAGTTAGGGGATCCTGCAGGGGACGACAGCAAAACCAGGTGGTGTCATGGTCTCTCTGCAGCTCAGCCCTGTCCCTGCCCCCACGGGCCTTCAGGACCAGCCTGGCTCTGCAGACCCGCTTCCCTCAAAGATGAATGCTGACTGCCCGGAGTCAGCTCGGGGCCAGGTGGAGACATGCTGCCCAGCTGGGCGGGGAGATGTTAGGCAGATGGGGAACGTACAAGAGCCTTGAACGTGAGGGACAAGTGCGACAGCCAGTTATCACTACTCTTCTCAACAGTGCACTGGAGAACAAGCCTTTGCAGTAAAATAAAAAATAAAAACCATGAGTTATAAGGGATGAGAGAAAGCAAAGCTATCATTTTCTTGCAGATGATACGATTGTCTACCTATAAAATCCAGGAGAATCTATGAATAAACTACTCAGATTAATAAAAGTTTAGGGCTTCCCTAGTGGTGTAGTGGTTAAGAATCTGCCTGCCAATGCAGGGGACATGGCTTCGAGCCCTGGTCCAGGAAGATCCCACGTGCCGCGGAGCAACTAAGCCTGTGCGTCACAGCTACTGAGCCTGCACTCTAGAGCCCGTGAGCCACAACTACTGAGCCCGTGTGCCACAACTACTGAAGCCCGCGTGCCTAGAGCCTGTGCTCTGCAACAATAGAAGCCACCGCAATGAGAAGCCCGCGCACCGCAACAAAGAGTAGCCCCGCTCGCCGCAACTAGAGAAAGCTCGTGTGCAGCAACGAAGACCCAACGCAGCCAAAAATAAATAAATTTATAAAATAAAAAAATAAAAGTTTAGCAAGATTTGCAGAGGACAAGAGCAATGCACAAAATTCATATCATTTCTTTACAGTAGCAATAACCAAGTGGGAATTATAATTTAAACTGCATCATTCATAGCCACAGCAAAATCTATGACATTCATAGTTGCGGCAAAATCTAACAAACGTGCAAGATCTTCACAGAGAAAACAACAAACGTGTTATTAAAAAATATAAAGGAAGAATTTAATAAATGGGGAAAAATTTCATGGTTAGAAATTTTACCCAATTTCGTGGATAGAAAGATTCAATTTTGTAAATGAATTCTCCAAAATCTTTAAATTCAATGAAAATTCAATCAAAACTCCATCAAAATACATGGGGAACTTAAAAAACTGATTTTAGAGAATATGTGTAAAGAAATAGCTTAAGAAATGCTTGGGGGCTTCCCTGGTGGTGTAGTGGTTAAGGATCCGCCTGCCAATGCAGGGGACACGGGTTCGAGCCCTGGTCCGGGAAGATCCCACATGCCGTGGAGCAACTAAGCCCGCGAACCACAACTACTGAGCCCGAGAGCCACAGCTACTGAGGCTGCATGCCACAACTACTGAAGCCTGCACGCCTAGAGTCCATGCTCTGCAACAAGAGAAGGCACCGCAATGAGAAGCCCGCACACCGCAACAAAGACCCAATGCATCCAAAAATAAATAATTAAATTAAAAAAAAAAAGAAAGAAATGCTTGGAATGATACACTACCTGTAACTGGCTTCAAAAGAATATGGGGCAGGGGTGGGGGGACCAAGGGGGAGGCGTAGATGAAAACAGATCAGGCATGAATTGATTATCACTGCAGCTGGAATTGGTCTATCCTATTGGGTCTACTTTTGTATGTTTAAAATTTTCTATAATATAAGGTTAAAAAAATTTGAGAAGGAAAAATACCAAAACTCTTTTTTTGAGAAAAAGCCAAATTGGGAGAATTTACAAGAAAGTGAATATATCAAAGGTACAGTCATAAAGACTGTGACAACAGTACAGCAGTAGAAAAATAGACCAAGGGAAAAGAAGAGCTCAGAAGCAGTCTTGTGTGTATTTGGGAATTTGGTAATCTGATGATGGTGACGTCACAGGTCAGTAGGAAACACGGACATTCAATATATAACGTGGGGAGACTGGGTCTCTTTATCGGGAAAACCTGTTAAACAAGATTCCTGCTTTATGAATACAACAAATTAAAGCCTAAATGTGACCAACCAAAAACTAGTAGGATGAAATATAGGTAATATAGGATTTTGTGATCACGAACATAGTGTGAAAAGAGAAAGGGGCAGAATAATTAATACAGCATGGTGCCACTTAATGTAAAGTAACACTTTCAAAAATAAGTTTGTATAATGGACACATGTACATATGTAAATTTTTTAAAAAGGAATATAAAAATACAAACCACCAAACTGTTTACCACTGGGTGAGTGAGGACAGGCCTCTGTGTTGTTCGTAAAGGATTCCTAAGCTATATCTATTATGTATTTTTTCTTTTAAAAGGATTAGAAACAAGTATGACAAAATATATAGTTAAATTTGGGTTATGGAAACAATGTGTTTTGTAAAAATTCTTTATACTTTTCCTGTATCTTTAATTTTTTTTCAAAAATGCAAAAAGACAAAGAAATAAGAAATCATTCAAAGAAATAACATCACTTAGAGTCAAGACAAGCTCTCCTAGGAAAAAAGCAGAAGGAAGAGCTGTAAGGGCTCCAAGGAGAGACTGCAGGACAAGGACAGAGGATCAGGAGTGGATGGAGGAGGAAGAAACCAGGAGGTGAAAAGCTCCTACAGACGCCATCAGAAGTAGGAGAAGCAGGTGGGAAACGCTGTCCTGGACACGGAGAGCAAACCTGAAGTCACTCAGGGTGCTGGGCACGCACAGTGCAAAGCGGTTAAGTGACTCGGGGGCCAGGGAATGATGTGGAGATGATGGGAAAATAACGTGTGTATAACTGGTGCTCCTAAAGAAAGAAACCAGAAGAGAAAAAAATTAAAGATATGAGTGCATAAAGGTAACTTTAAAAAATGAAAAATTTTTATCTTTTGGCCTTATGTTCCAGGAAACAAAAGTGATACAAGAAGATGGATATAAAATACCTTGATTAAGTAACTCAACTTCAAGGAGAAAGAAAGACCCCTGGTTTCTAGAAGGGAAAGTATCAAAGGCAGGAAGAGGTCCAGAAGCCAGAGGCAGGGGAGGGGCCTGGGGGTGCCAGGCAGAGGGAGGGGGTCTGTCATAGCCGCTGGCTGGCTCACACAAGAGGGAGGGGTCCTTGTGGGCCTTGGGCAGGGACAGAGGTGATCCAAACCCAAGGAACCAGCCGAAGGCAGCTTCTCGAATGCTTAATCATGGGTCTGAATGACCTGCATTGGATCAAACTCCGTAGGAAAGCTCAGGAAGGGCCCCTAAGGGGCACCAGCTAATCTTTCAATTACTGACAAGACTGGATCAGGGAGCTTAACTGATTTTTCCAATACTCCACAGCTGATTAAAGAGAGCCAGAACTCCTTCTAGCTTTTATTGGATTCTTAATCTGCTGCTCTTTGTTGGAAAGATCAAATGTATAATATTCGTAGTTTTCTCCATTTATTTTTTAAAATAATGTATTTTAAAAATATTTTATATCCATATATTTACACATAGATTATATATCATAGAAAATATTTATATAATATATAATATAGAACTATATAGAATACTATATATAGTATAGCTATATATTTTGGTTATAACATATGTAACTATAATACTATATACTATTATACTATATATACTAAATATTTTATATTCAATACATTTTATATACAATATAGTATACATTATATTGTATATATAGTATTCTACATATATAGAATATATGGAATATTTAATACATTCTATATGTCATATACCATATGTAATATATAATTACATACTAAATACTAGATAATACAAATTGTTACATAATCTGCTACAGAAGTATACATACATACATAACTATACATATATATACATATACATACATAAATATACATATGATAACCTAAAATATATAACGCATGTCATACGCATGCATAACTGAGAACAGTGTCAGCGGCTCACCTGGCGGTGCCCTCCTTGCTGACTCGGCCAGAGGGCATTTCTGCGTCTGTATCTTCTTCCTTCTATTCTTCAGCCGTCTCAGTACCTCCGACCCCTCCCCAGGAGGCTCTTCCGCAGCCTCCTGTCTCCCATGGTTACACTAGCTCCATCCGTGACAAGACCGCGTTTGTATTTTCTCATTTGTGGCACTTCTTTCCCTTTCCTACGACGTTACAGTACATCAAGCTTGGAGCACCGTTTCCCCAAGGGTCACTCCCCCGTGGCCTCTGCGGGACATTCTGTGGCACTTGGCACTCGACCACATTGTGCAGATGAGGTGCAGACATTGCTTCTCCTCTGTGCCTTCGGAATTGTGCTTCACGGGTTGAGAAAAATCTTACTTAAATAAACTCTGTGAGGCTGGGATTAAAAGCAGGAAGCAGCTGCGGCTGAAACTTCCTACCGGACAATCATCTGTTTAAACAGCAAGAAGCAGCCTGTGAAATCAAAAGTAAACGCGAAGATGCCTTTGGACAATGTATCAAAGGGACTGAAAACCAATCCTGCTTAATCCTTCTAAACGCTGCATCTCCCCAGCAGGAACGCAACCTGCCAATTAGGGAAACAAGACAAACACAATCTCTTGGGGCTGCGGTGAAGGGGGACAGGTGTATTTAATGAGACCTTTGAAGGGGAAGCCAGTTGCAGGCCTAACATCTCCGTGGGCAGAACAGGGAGAAGCCAGCACCCCAAGGGGAGAGAATGCCAGGAAGTGCCAGAATTATGCAAACGGTACGGGGGAAGCTAAAAACAGACCTTCACAGGTAACATCCTGTAAGGAAGCCCATGGATCTCCTAACAGAATCAACACAGTTGCCCTGCCAGGCACCTGAGAGCATCTGGTCTGAGGTGGGAGCAGCCAGCCTCAGCGGGTGCCGGGCTCCCCCCTCCAGTGTTGTCGACTCCGGGCACCATGTACGGTTCGGCTCCTGCCTCTCTGACTAACGTCCCTCCCCCACCTCCCCCTCCCCAGCCCTGACACCCACCGTTCCAGTCCCTGATCCCATGAATGTGACCCTTTCAGATGCCCCATGTGAGTAGGATCATGTGTGCTTGTCCTGTGATGGCTCATTTCCCTGGGCGTATGTCCTCCAGGTTCATCCATTCCACTGCATATTAAGAATTCCCTTCTTTTCCAGCAGCCTCGGCGTGTGCTGTAACCTCCCCCACTCCCCCCTTATCACCAGTGTCAGTTCTTGTTTGGTCATATCGGATATGTCTTTGGCTCTGTTACCTACATGGTGTTCTAGAACGTGGACTTGAGTTGGAGCAGTGGGCGTGGGACTCCAAAGGAGGTGCTGGGTCCAGGAGGATAAGGTGCAGGGAGAGTCAGCTCATCATAGGCAAGGAGACGTGAGGAGGCAGCCTCAGCCCTCCTCACCTTCACTCAGTGGAGCTCCTGGGCTGACAGTCTGGTGGCTGCTCCGCCTTTCAGACCCCAGTGTGACGACTGGCTGGAAGCTGCTGGGAGATTAATTTTCTGATTATGTAACGTTGTGGAAACGCAGAAGACCCTGGAAAGTCACTTGAAGTGAACATACGGGCTGTGACATCTCATCTATGAATTTCGTCAGCAGAAAACACATGGCTTGGGAGCTTCAAGATGGCTGAAGAGTAAGACGCAGAGATCACCTTCCTCCCCACAAATACATCAGAAATACATCTACACGTGGAACAACTCCTACAGAACACCTACTGAACGCTGGCAGAAGACCTCAGACCTCCCAAAAGGCAAGAAACTCCCCACGCACCTGGGTAGGGCAAAAGAAAAAAGAATAAACAGAGACAAAAGGATAGGGATGGGACCTGCACCAGTGGGAGGGAGCTGTGAAGGAGGAAAGGTTTCCACACACTAGGAAGCCCCTTCGCGGGTGGAGACTGCGGGTGGCGGAGTGGGGGAGCTTCGGAGCCGCGGAGGAGAGCACAGCAACAGGGGTGCAGAGGGGAAAGCAGGGGGATTCCTGCACAGAGGATCGGTGCCAACCGGCACTCACCAGCCCGAGAGGCTTGTCTGCTCACCCGCCGGGGCGGGCAGGTCTGGGAGCTGAGGCTCGGGCTTCGGTCGGATCCCAGGGAGAGAACTGGAGTTGGCGGCGTGAACACAGCCTACAGGGGGTTAGTGCACCATGGCTGGCCGGCAGGGAGTCCAGGGAAAAGCCTGGACCTGCTGAAGAGGCAAGAGACTTTTTCTTCCCTCTTTGCTTCCTGGTGCACGAGGAGAGAAGATTCAGAGCGCCACTTAAAGGAGCTCCAGACACGGGCGTGAGCTGCGCCTATCAGCGCGGATCCCAGAGACGGGCATGAGACGCTAAGGCTGCTGCTGCCGCCACCAAGAAGCCTGTGTGTCAGCACAGGTCACTCTCCACGCCGCCCCTCCCGTGAGCCTGTGCAGCCCGCCACTGCCAGGGTCCCGCGATCCAGGGACAACTTCCCCGGGAGAACGCACGGCGCGCCTCAGGTTGGTGCAACGTCATGCTGGCCTCTGCCGCCGCAGGCTCGCCCCGTACTCCGGGCCCCTCCCTCCCCCCGGCCTGAGTGAGCCAGAGCCCCCGAAGCAGCTGCTCCTTTAACCCCGTCCTGTCTGAGTGAAGCACAGACGCCCTCAGGCGACCTACACGCAGAGGCGGGGCCATATCCAAAGCTGAACCCCAGGAGCTGTGTGAATAAAGAAGAGAAAGGGAAATCTCTCCCAGCAGCCTCGGGAGCAGTGGATTAAATCTCCACCATCAACTTGATGTACCTGCATCTGTGGAATACCTGAATAGACAACAAATCACCCCAAATTGAGGAGGTGTACATTGGGAGCAATGATATATATATATATTTCCCTTTTTCTCTTTTTGTGAGTGTGTATGTGTATGCTTCTGTGTGTGATTTTGTCTGTATAGCTTTGCTTTTACCATTTGTTCCAGGGTTCTGTCTGTCCTTTTTTTTCTATTACTTAAAAAAAATTTTTTTTCATAATAATTTTTTTTATTTTAATAACTTTATTTTATTTTACTTTATTTTATCTTCTTCTTTCTTTCTTTTTTTTTCTCTCTTTTATTCTGAGCCATGTGGAGGACAGGCTCTTGGTGCTCCAGCCAGGTGTCAGGGCTGGGCCACTGAGGTGGGAGAACCAAGTTCAGGACACTGGTCCAAAAGAGACCTCCCAGCACCACGTAATATCAAATGGTGAAAATCTCCCAGAGATCTCCATCTCAACGCCAAGACCCAGCTCCACTCAACGACCAGCAAGCCACAGTGCTGGACAACCTATGCCAAACAACTAGCAAGACAGGAACACAACCCCATCCATTAGCACAGAGGCTGCCTAAAATCATAATAAGACCACAGAAACCCCAAAACACACCACCAGATGTGGACCTGCTCACAAGAAAGACAAGATCCAGCCTCATCCACCAGAACACAGGCACTAGTACCCTCCACCAGGAAGCCTACACAACCCACTGAACCAACCTTAGCCACTGGGGACAGACACCAAAAACAACGGAAACTACGAATGTGCAGCCTACGAAAAGGAGACCCCAAACACAGTAAGTTAAACAGAATGAGAAGACAGAGAAACACACAGCAGATGAAGGAGCAAGGTAAAAACCCACCAGACCTAACAAATGAGGAGGAAATAGGCAGTCTATCTGAAAAAGAATTCATAATAATGATAGTAAAGATGATACAAAATCTTGGAAATAGAATGGAGAAAATACAAGAAACGTTTAACAAGGACCTAGAAGAACTAAAGGGCAAACAAACAGAGATGAACAACACAATAAATGAAATTTAAAATTCTCTAGAAGGGATCAGTAGCAGAATAACCGAGGCAGAAGAACAGATAAGTGACCTGGATGATAAAATAGTGGAAATAACTACTGCAGAGCAGAATAAAGAAAAAAGAATGAAAAGAATTGAGGACAGTCTTAGAGACCTCTGGGACAACATTAAACACACCAACATTTGAACTATAGGGGTCCCAGAAGAAGAAGAGAAAAAGAAAAGGACTGAG